TTACTTATTATCCAGTATTTTTAATACTGAAAATAAGTAATTTTCAATGATTCTTAGTATGACATTTTTATAAGGATAATCATTATAACGTTTTGTTAAAAATGTAAAAGTAATTATCACTGGTTCACTACATTACATCAATATTCATCGCATATTGAATGTTGCATTGTTTCAATATCTATCAACAAATTACCCAATAAACAACATGTAAAAATTATGTAACTACCCCTATAGAAATATCATACTAAGAATCATTGATAATTACTTATTTTCAGTATTAAAAATACTGGATAATAAGTAATTATCAATGATTCTTAGTATGATATTTCTATAAGGGTATTATTTGGTGTTTGCTAGGTATGTTATAATGGCTGCGTTCCGCAAAGCGCATCATGCGCATCATGCGCATTATGCGCATAATGCGCTGCGTTGGAGCAAAAGAGATATGAGAGTGAGATAAAAAGAGAGGGAAAGCACTTAGGTGATGTTCTCGAACGCATGAGAGCGCATAGGCTGCCTCAGCTCCCGAGGTAGTGTAGTCCATGCGCTCTCATGCGTTCGAGAACATCACCCGAGTACTTTCCCTGTCTTTTTATCTCACTCTCGTATCTCTTTTGCTCCAACGCTGCGCATTATGCGCATGATGCGCTTTGTGGAACGCAGCCAATATACTGTGAACACTATAAGGATACATTATATAAGCATGAATTGTATAAATATCGTTGGAGTCATCAGAGTCACCGCGTGCGCGCTCGATCGTCAGGTTAAGCAACAGTTTAATGCGGTCAGGACATGGATGGTGACCAGTGGGTATGCTGCTTGGGATCGAAATTATCGCAGAAGGCTTCATGAAAGTTTGGAATGTGTTGTGACAACTTTCGATATCTAGTAGTTTTATGAGACATGAGAAAATTAGGAATATAAGTATATTTTTTAAACATTATGATTTTCTCATTTTTCACCTTTGCATAATAATTCTCAGTATTTGATTACTATTAATATTTAACAGTGATTTTATTATCAGTATTCACCAGAAATTACTGGCCAAAAATTTACTGAATTACTGGTAATATTTAATCACTAATAATTTTTCAGTATTTCTTAGTATAATATTTCTATAATTTATGATTCAAAGTATTGTCCATCGCTGGCCACTACTTTCTCCCATCTTTCGGGCAGGGTACAAATCCTGCGTCGAAATAACTGGTCATCTTTTGAGGCGAACCACGAATCGACCCAATTTTTTACTTCTTCATAAGACCGGAAGTGCTGGTCAGCCAGGCCGTGTGCCATTGATCGAAACAAGTGATAGTCAGAGGGAGCAATGTCTGGAGAATACGGGGTGGGGTAGGACTTCCCATTTCAACGTTTCCAAGTATGTCTTGACCACTTTCGCAACATGGGGTCGAGCATTGTTATGCTGCAAAATCATTTTATCGTGTCTCTCGTTATATTGTGGCCGTTTGTCTTTCAATGCTCGGCTCAAACGCATCAATTGCGTTCGATACCGATCGCCTGTGATTATTTCAGTCGGTTTTAACAGCTCATAATACACTACGCCGAGCTGGTCCCACCAAATACAGAGCATGACCTTAGAGCCGTGAATATTCGGTTTGGTCGTCGAAGCATGGCCAGGAATTCCCCATGATTTTCTGCGCTTGGGATTATCGTAATGAATCCATTTTCGTCCCCAGTCATAATGCGATGCAGAAATCCTTTCCGTCTTTGCCTTTGAAGCAGCTGTTCACAAGCAAATAAACGCCGTTCAACATCTCTCGGCTTCAATTTGTACGGCAGCCAATTTCCTTGCTTCTGAATTATTCCCATGGCTTTGAGACGTTTTGAAATGGCTTGTTGAGTCACTCCCAGTGATCGTGCCAATTCTTCTTGATTTTGACACGAGTCTTGACCAAGTAATGCCTCCAATTCTGCATCTTCGAGAACCTTCTCTCTTCCACCGCTATGCCGGTCTTCGACGTCAAAATCACCGTTCTTGAAGCGTTGAAATTCACGACACGTTCTTTCACTAATAGCGGCCTCACCATAAGTATTTGAAAGCATTCGATGAGCTTCTGCCGCAGATTTCTTCATATTGAAGCAGAAAATTAAAACCTCCCGCAAATGACGAGAATTTGGCTCGTAAACTGACATTTTCAATCGAGAATAACTTTATGATGCAGACACAAATCGACTAATGTTTCTATGGGGTTATTTTGACAGATGCCCAAATTTATTGTATGACGTCTATGATCTATTTCGACCACCACTTATCGCTAAAGCCATCTATAGGAAAACGGCGAAAGTAAAGTTGTACACCTAATATTTATTAGATTTATGAAAAGTTTAAGAAGATAAATGTATATATATATTAACTATCCTACATTAACTTTTCGTAATAAATAAAAATAAAAAATTATTAAATATTTTTGTAAAATAAAAATAAAAAGCTAATATAGTGTTGATTGTTCAATATTTTGATTATTGTAAGCACAAAGATCTTCCTTTTCGGCGAGCAACGTTAAAAATTGTATTTCCAGACGAGCTCTGTCGTGGTATGACAGCCTGCGCATGCCTTTTCCCAACCGTGCTAAAAATCCATCTAGCGGATCAGTAAACTGCGCTGTTGGTTCTTTCAATGCTTCTATTAAGACTTCTTGCAAAGCATCGTTCTTTTGCTCTAAAATATAATATATACTTTCATATATCAACCGAATTACATTATTACATTAATTGTATCTTTACAAAACGCATATATCATACATGTATTATGCATGAATCATAGCATTATAGTTTTTAATTATTTATAATGTTTCTGCAATGTTGTTTTAACATTTCCGATGAAATGTTACAATTCCAGGTCTATGTTATGTTTCTGCAATACATTACGTTGAAATTTGAAGTGATGTAATGTTCCTGCAACGTAACTGCAAGCTTCTGTGCTGTATGGGAAAGCTTTTACATACAAAAATGCAAGCAACACGAACACTCTATTGATATACAAATGTATCCTTAAAAAATTTTGTATCGACATACCCTGAGTAGTGAATCAGATATGATAGAACGCTATTATAACATTATATTGTTACGCCCACGATAGATAACTATATAGGGAAATTTGAAAGTAGTGAAATCAGTGACTTACGTGGACGGTCAACAGAGTGATGACTCCGCTTTTGGGTCACTCTGCTTTTCACCGAGTTTACCCTGGGTCTCCGGAGTCTGGCGAAACGATTGATGAATCTGGCGAAAAATCAACGGTGCTTGTTCTCCTGGCTCGGCCTCGGATGTTCCGACACTACGAGGGTTAATGTGGCCCGCGATTCAGAATTTTGATTTCGCAACGTTTGAAATATGAAGGGTAGGCAAAAGTAATTGCAACACTGTCGGATTTTACGTCTAATTATAATATTCTGAATTGGTACACGAAAGCTACCAGAGACTAATTATGAGAAGAGAATAATTGGCTTCTCTACAAATGCGCGCGTTTTTATATGTCGCTTTGTCGCTGAGAGTCGTTCTCCGATTGATCCATAGAGTTATGGCGAGGGAAGAGATTCATTCCTTTGCATGATGTCACCGCGTCGGTGTCCTGAATGGTGTTTGGGATTCGGCTTATGTTTGGCTCCTGTTTATGTTAGCTTATCGCACTGAGCGATAACGGTTTCTTTAGGTTGATCCATCGATTTCAAGACTCTCCAGCAGCACGCAGCATTCGGCATTTTAATTATAATGTTTTAACGCTCGCGAATATACATATGCGCACGTACTTACATCTAGTAACATAGGAATAAAATGTCTAGTGATGTCTGAAATCAGACAAGTCGGCCTCCCGGTCTATAATAATATATTATTAATGTTCTAAAATAGATCCGGACGTTACAATATAATAAACTCGATATAAAGCTATTTCTTAACTTACCCTGATTTGATTATCCATTTGTTTATTATTGTTTTGCAAAACTTTTTATATGTGACAATATCCACTTCATCACACCTTTTAGTTCAAACGACACTACAAGATACGCTTACTAATACAGTCAAAAATTGGATTTGCCGTAACAAAAATAGCGTAAAGAGCACAAAATAACTAGGCAGAAACTAGTACTTAAATGAGATGATATGATTGGTTGGCGCAAGTTACGCTTACGCAAGTTACGCCGCATGGGGAGGCACCCTAATTGTCGTAAACACCCTTTATTTTCTACTAGACCATGATTGCGTTCGGTGAGCATGCTTTCGGCGCTATGAGCACGCTTTGACCGCTTATAGCGTGTTCGACTGGCCCTGGATTAATCGCTCCGAAAGCGATTAATGACGTCATAAGTCTCTACTAGCCAATTATAAAGCTTATAAGTACTTGTTCGATCAATAAACGTAGGCTGAATAACCCAGAATGGGTTAACCCAGAGCCAGTCGAACATGCTATTAGATAGAAACTAATTTCAACTATAGATGGCATAGACGTCTAATAGCTGTCCTTCTGTCCTTGTTATATTTAATTATTGTATTTGTTCTTAAACAAATACAAATTTGTTTGATATTATGATAAGTAACAAATATGTTAAAAAAAAATTATTTTATAGTTGTCAGAACCAAAATTTTAGATTAGTTAGCATATGTTATTAGATAGAAATTAATTTCAACTTTACATGGACGTTTAATAGCTGTCTTTCTGACTTGTTATATTTAACTATTATATTTATTCTTAAACAAATACAAACTTGTTTCATATTATGATAAGTAACAAATATGTTGAAAAAAACTATTTGATAGTCAACAGAACCAAAATTTTAGGTTAGTTAAAAAGCGGTTTAACTAAATACAAATTTTAACCATAGATGACATAGATGTCTAATAGTCGTCTTCCCAATTTGTCTTTTCTCACTGGGTGATACGCGTATCAAGTGCCCGATGTAAACCAGGCTACTGTATCACGGATGCGAACCATGCACCTTTACCGAGCATAATGACGTAATTAACGCCCATTTGTCAGAGGGCGCCTCCTTTTCTTCAAATAAACGTCAACTTTCGCCAGTGGCCGCTCTCAGACGTCTCTCTCTGCCGGTGCAATCAAACGATAGCTACTTTCCTCACTTCTCACAAATATTACTTTATTGGATTTCATAAAAAAAACGCTGATTATTTTGAAACATAAGCCATGGAGTCCGCGATCGGAAATCTTGAACAAAGCGTAAGTATTATTTGATACGTTTTACGCTACGTTTTCATAAAAGATAACTTGCTACTGAAGTCGATGCTATAAACATTGCTGCTTAACGCAAACATCAAACTGTCATTCGTGTATAAAGTTTGCTTATTGTGGTTTAGGTTCAAAAAGCCGACGGGAAGCTGGACATGATCGCCTGGCAAATAGATGCTTTTGAGAAAGCTTTCGATGACCCGGAAAATGAGGTAGGAATGTTTTTGATTTTTTGCAGTAATATAATGGTCGCATTATATTCAGGCTGTTCTTTTTACCTGTACTTCATTTGGAATTAATTATTAATGTTCGATTTTTTAAAGTAAATTTATAGTTATTAATTATAAAATTTTCTATGAAAATTAAGCTCCAATAATATCTGAATTGTAAAGGATTAAAAGAGAACTTATATTATTGTACTAAGTTTTATACAAAAGATGTTAAATAGACTTTAATTTAAGTAGCTAGTTTAAAAAATATCAGCTAGTAATATCAAATACTGGTTATTTGTAAAATATATCATAGATGTTTTTCAAGAAATTGAATTAAAATTTAGAGATAAAAGATTGGTTGTCAAATTTAGGATACTCTGCATACTTAGTATAGTTCAAATTAAGTTAGAATTATTTTATATTTTGCAAAATTCATCGAAATATGAAAATATATATGCAGTTATAACTTTAATATTTATTTTATAATAATTCTTAATATGTCCTATTTATGGAAAAAAGTGAATTTTTAAAAATATTAGAATGTATTAAAATGTGCAACTAAAAAGGACAGATTTATTGTATCTGTATAGTCTTCTGTGACAGTACCAAACAAGCAACGTTATATAGCATTTATGGAACAATTCCTGCTTAAAACCAGGATCCATTCCTTTTAGCATTAAATATATCACAAGCGACTTCATGTTCAAGGATTTTTTCTTTTGTGTGCACTTTATTGTCTGTGACGTTTTCATATTTTCAATCATCAAACCGCTTTTCATTTTGTGCTTCCAACAGATATCTGTGCTTCGCCTATTACACTCTGTTCATCAAGTTACGAAAGATTATCAGAATCTCCGTCAAGAAATTTTGGAGGTTCAGCAGTTACAGAAACAGCTTTCTGATTCACTTAAAGCTCAGCTTACGCAGGTGCATGGACATTTTAATTTATTGCGTAATAAGATCGTGGGACATAAATCACCACAGTTGAAATAAAATAGTTTATCGCGCATTTTCTGGAAAATTGTCCATTATTTCCATAGAATATTATTTGGAAAATTCAAATATAATTTTCGCCAAATATCAATGAAATTTCGAGCGTAGTCAGAATTATATTTGCAACTTTCGTAATACATCATGCATGATGCAATCTAGTTAACTGCAACAAACGGTCCATCACATAGAAAAAAAGAGAAATAGAGAGAGGGAAAGAAAAAAGGTAGAGACAGAGATGGCATACTGTAACATTTCCTTTAAGAACTTCTAGTAGCACAATTGACATTTGTGATATAATATTTGCTTAAACACATTGTTTCTGTGTATATAATTCTCGACGATTTTAAAAACTGATCTCTTTGGAAATGAAGCGACATCAACAGCCATTGTTGACAATTAACTTATTTGATTTATATCATAAATGGCAAGGGGGCCAATTTATGCGCTGGTATGTGGAAAGAATAGCATTGGGACTGTTGGATTTAAAGAGTGTCCTATGTAGCTTCTATTGTTCACTGATTATCATTTCGAATATATTGGTAGATTGCGGACAATATATAATATTATGTCTAATTTTTAAATGAGTTTAAGATAATAATAGCGCATTAATTGAATGACTACAGTTATTAATACACACACACACACACACACACATACGCGCGCGCATATACACATTTGTGTATATTTCCGTTATCATTAAAGTGTTATCTGCATACATTCTTCTTACACCATTTTGAGGACAATGGTTTATTGAAGATTTTATTTTTTTGTGTATCGATCAAAGCGCTTTGCGAGACACTGGGATCAGAACAAGTGCAAGCTTAGCATGAGATCATTGTGTGTATTTATACCTAGCTTTAAGTTAGTCATTTATGCTTTTATAATGTTTTTACTGTCTCGGGAACAATAGTTTTAGTATTTTATTGGTTCGAGTATAAAAAATCTCAAATGATGTAGATTTAAAAAAAACATGTCAATTTTTTCTTTCTTCATTATGTTGCATCATGATAATGTTTATATATTTAATTGATACGTAATGCAACGGTTAATTAATACATATTGGACACCGTTTATCAAGGCGTATACGTGACACATCAATCGTGATTGTATAATTGACTACGCTTCCTATACTTTAATGAAAGTATAATCTCGATTCTGATCATGTTGCATTATCGTTGTGTTAACAAAGTAAATATACATACCTGTCACTGTGAAAACGATCGTATACAGTTTGCAGCGGTTTTCAGTTTACATTTCGACATTTTCCTTACCGTGCAACATCAAAACGTCAAGAATGAAACAAGTATATACTCTTAAGGTAAATGTCCTAGTGATTGAACGTGTACCGATAATTGAATTATTAATATTTGTATTTGTTAAGATGCTTATCAATAAATGAAACAAAATCACAAAGTAACTAAATATTTCTTTTCATTATATTGTTTTGTATATTGAAAAACATTTTAATAAAGAAAATACAAAACTAATATGTTAATCATTGGGACATGTATGTTCGATCAATGGGACGTTTACCTTATATGCTGAAATAAATTCATACATACATATATGTTTTCAAAACGATTTAAACACTTTTTCCGATGTAGCTTAGAACGCAGACGATGACCCATAAACATATATACTAGACTGTGCGGTCTGTGCAGAGGAGTGAAGCCAAGATGGAAGGACAGACATATGCGTCCAGTAGTTTCAGTTTCAATAAATGGCTCCAGACTTCATTAAAAATTTTGCCCCAACGCCATTACACGGATTGAGTATGCATCATAGATGTCTAATCTAGATTGCTAACAAGGGCTTCGAACGTGCGTCAGGTTTCCGGTCGCGGAAATGCGAGAAAATGGCGGCGGTCCTGTGTGTGTGAGACACTGAAATGTTGGGTGCTTTCCAATCGCTTAACACATTTTGACACACACATACACAAAACCAGTTTATTGGTCATATATTATCTAAAATATCTTATAAGATAATATGCAATCAATAAACTGGTTTTGTGTAACACAGTGTACGCAACTGGAAAGCATCCTATACTACCTGGAATGTGCGCTACCTCTTGAATATGTGAGATGAGAGAGAGTATACTTGTAAGTCTCGAACAGCGCTCTGTCTTTGTCTAGTACAGTTTGAACCAAAAGCTAAGTGGACTGATTTTTAAACATAAATTGAATCTCCGAATTAGGAACCATCTTTGCTTTGTTTTTCTTAATAATAAGTCGATAAGTAAATACTAATAAATGAGAAAAAATATACATATTTTTTTTATATCTAATGTATACAGAACGCGGTAATGCTTGCTACGCGGTGGAAATTCGCGCGACAGCCAATCAATATGCTGCTTTCCGTAATAATTTTCTAGCTCTTACGGAAAAACAACATTGATTGGCTGTTGTGCGGACTTCCGCCGCGCGGCAAGCATTACCGCGTCCTGTGTGCAGGAGCCATTAAGCTGAGTTTCCACTGATCGCGTCGTCTGCCTGCGTCACGAGTTAACCAATCAAATACTCTAATTGGGATGACGCGCGCGCGACGCACTTGTTCCAATGGAACGATTTGATTGGTTAACTCGTGACGCAGGCAGACGCGTGACGCGCTCAGTGGAAACTCAGCCTTAGGCTGTGTTCCCACTTAGTGTGTCACGCGTCGCGTCGCCCGAGTTAAGCCGATCAAGTCATCCCATTTTATTGCGTAACTTTACGCCGCTAAGTGGGAACTCAGCCTTAAACTTTCGTTCATAAGCTTAAGGCTGCCGTCACATGCAGCGTAATGGTGCTATTTCACGTATCGTACGACAAGCTTTTCAGATACGTTTATTGGTTGGCGAATAGAGTAATTCTAGGTTCTCTGTTCGTCAACCAATGAACGTATCCAAAAAGCTTGAAATATCAGCCTAACTTGCGTAAGCGTAACCTGCGTATGTACGCCATGTCATTAGTCGGCTTTCACATGAAGCATATTTTATTGAATTGTGAGAAGTGCGTAACAAATATAACCAATGATTGATTAGAGTTTCTATTGTACACTCTAACGGAAATGCTAAACGAATTTGCGATTGGTTTTCGTAATTATGCGTCTCGAAAAGTACGCTTCATGTGAAAGCAAGACTCTGCGTACAAGTATGTATGAAGCGGAATGTATGTAATATTTAGAAAGTTAAAATTGAAGTAAACATCCACAAAATAGTATACCTCCATATTTTGTTTTTTAAGGTTATTGTATGCTTTTTTTAATTTTAAATTTATATAAAAAGTTTTTTGTTTAATTTAAAAGTTATATAAAAAAATAATAAAAGATACCAGTAGACTTATCATTGAAAAAGGTAATAATTTGTGTCAATATTAAGTACGTTTTAATTAATAATTTCGGGAGCGGTGCACTTGGACACGGTGCATTTGGACACAGCCAATCACAGCACCGTGTGATTAGAGACATTTGTAGGGTCCCTTGGAACAGTGACTTGTGATTGGACTGTGTCCAATTGCTCCGTGTCCAACTGATATACACCCATAATTTCCCATACAGCACAGAAGCTTGCAGCAACATTGCTACAACGTTGCAAAATTGCATATTGCAGTGCAATGTTGCAGAGACATTGCAGTAATATTAATTTGCAATATTACTTTATCAATATTGCAGCACTATTTCAGAAATATGACGAATATAATACAATATTTTTTACTCATTTACTAGTTATTTTTGTTACTTATATTTCAAATTCAGTAATATTTCACATCAATAGTGCTTATAGAATAGTACTTAGAATAGTACTTGCTAGTGGCAGTCATTAATACTAGAATTTATCTTATTACATATTTCTTAGACTTCTTATATTGTTTTTTCGGAGAAAATACTTTCTTTAGATTTAATATTTGTAATTGTTTAATTTTGTGGTTTTTTTATTTCATTAATATATTATATTCTTAAACGAAATATTATTTTTTGAAATGATAAAAATAAAAACTTTTATTTTGCTCAAGGAAATCATGTTATTTGATGAAACAAGACTATTGTTTTAAATAGAATTTTATAAAAGTTTCTTTAAAAATTTAGTAATTTGATTTATTTAATTTGGATTTTTTTAGATTTTTTATTTCTTTTAGTTTGGATTAATCATGATAACATTCTGTGAGTGAGTCCCAGATACGCACATTGACAAACGGACACATCCAATCATATGTCGTTATTTATAGAGTAAGAATATCTCTAGAATATCTCTAGGCATACGGCGTTGTGGTTGGTTGTGTCCGTTTGTCAATGTGCGCATCTGGGACGCTCCCCATTCTGTTAAAAATCTAAAAGTAATTATCACTGGTTCATTACATTACATCAATGTTCATCTCATATCGAATATTGTTGCGTTGTTTCAATATCTATTAGTAAATTATCCAACGAACACCAAGTAAAAATTATATAACTATTATTTGATGTTTGCTAGGTATAATATATTCTTAAAATATACTGTGAATACTATAAGGATAAATTATTGATCTGTTATTTTTAGCTGCACTGCTGAACTAGGTTGCAGTACTAGTGCACTAAGTTAAAATGAGACAAGTATATTTTTTCTCACTCTTATTTCACAACTTTTCTCAACTTATTTCACTAGTTCAGCAATACAGCTGAAAAGAACATGTCATAATCGCGAATATTACTAGCATTGTCGAAACGTTTCAAGAGAAACCGTTTCGACCGCGCTATAACGAGGAAGCGGATGTGCTGCGCTAAGCACCACTTTGCACATTCCGCATTTCGGACTTTGAGCCGAAACTCCTCGGACTATCACCAAATATGGTAACTTCCTTGTTACCAGGTTACGTAAGGCACGCCTTCCGACAAGACTGAACAATATTATGAAAGAGCGGAGAAGATCGCCCGCGATAAAATTAATAGCGTTTTTCATTGGCAGAACTGGTGCGCACTGAGTGCACACTAAGGCTTGTTTACAATACATTTTTATATTTAAGATCGTGTCTTAAATACATATTTAAAAATATTTTAGGTAATAAAATGATTCATATGGATGATATACATATTATACTACTGGATAAAAATATTTGAGAATTTATTTAAGATAATCTTTGAATATAATAACATACTGTGAACAAGCCTTAGTGCGCACTCAGTGCGCACCAATTCTGCCAATGAAAAACGCTATAAGACCTCGGTCTCTTGCCCGCAACGTACGTACCTGTCGCGCATCTCGCGCATACTGTAAGAATCCGGGAGTTATAATAAAACTCAACAGTACGGGGTATAATAAAGCCTTTTTTTTTTATATAAAACGTGGCTATATTCTTTTATTGTGTATCCTTTCCACTGCCACACACCCTGCCGCGCCCGCAACATCGATCTCAAACTTTCTCGCTTGCGCCCAGCAACAAAGGACGCGACAAATTTGATGGCAGCGGTGGGATCGGTGTCCGCCGAGCTCTGGGTACTACCTGTGAACAAAAGTGCATTACGGGTAAGAAAAAGATGGTGTAAATAACAAAGAAAGAAAAATTCGAACGAGAAATCGTCGGAGTCAGCTAGTGGACGTCGGAGATACATCCACTGATAATCGCTACCGGCTATCTCAAGGATGGGCGAGAAATTACACGACCGAGAGGAAGCAACTACTCTGTAAATACATTAGACGATAAGTCTACTTGAAAAAAAAAAAAGAAAAAGAAGAGAGAACTCAAAAAGTTACTGAGAGCCCTCCGAGACAACACACTGGGACCACAAGGCGAAACTGAGACGGCAGAGGACAGCGGTAATCGGTGAAAGACGTCGCTGCAGCGTAATCAAGACGACCGTCGGAGCTACGGCCTACAATACACGTTGTCAGCGACACCGGAACCTACGGCGAATGCACCAGCGGCGACCGCGACCTGCCTAACGCCATTGACCCAGTGACGAGCAACGATTTGCCGACTCAACCAAAACATGATGAGCTACAAAAGAGCCGTGACGTTATTGTAAGTCCAGAAATCATTGTAATCCAAGCGATTAAGGTTATGCGAGGGTACACGTAAAAACGTGAATATCGAGCGAAAGCGGTACTCCTGACCGACTTATATTGAACCAATCGTGGCTACATAGTGCACTAGCTAGATTAACAATCGAGCGCCTGTCGAACTTTAACGAAACAGTTGCTAGCGCTATAGATGACGCGCGTGAAACATTAGAGCTTGTGTGACGTGTGTTAGAATACTCGGGCGAAACCGAACGCGAATCTCTAGCGCACGTAACCGCCGAACGTGAATTCTTTTTCGGCGAAATAGACCGTAGTATACTACCGGACGTGCAAGTTACAGACGGTATCCGACGTACAAGACGTCGGGAGCGGTGCACTTGGACACGGTGCATTTGGACACAGCCAATCACAGCACCGTGTGATTAGAGACATTTGTAGGGTCCCTTGGAACAGCGACTTGTGATTGGACTGTGTCCAATTGCCCCGTGTCCAACTGATATACACCCCAAGACGTCACGCATTCTTACCCTCACACAGTACTATTAGCGACGTCTCGCAAAAAGGAGATTTTTTCTTAACGTCTTACGATAGTAGCGTATTCGATCCACTTGACGAAATAGCCACCGGGTAACGCGACGAAAACCTACACGCGACGGAGAAATAGAGCAGAAAATTTCTCGCCCCCTCGGGCCACGGGAGCGGTGCACTTGGACACGGTGCATTTGGACACAGCCAATCACAGCACCGTGTGATTAGAGACATTTGTAGGGTCCCTTGGAACAGCGACTTGTGATTGGACTGTGTCCAATTGATATACACCCCGGGCCACCACTGCGCGCGGGTTCGTTGAGCGATGTGGATGAAACTCAACCGGGACCTAGTAAGATTTGACACGACGTTGACCCATATAAAACTATTAACGAATAGCTATGTGCGCATAGAGGAATTACGAGATACTATATATACGAATGCGGCGAGATTAACTAATTCTCACATAGATGATTAGTTATTAAAGATTAGCATTAAAGATGAGGAACGCTAACGTAGAAGCGGAACGATTCCCTTCAGACAGACGAGGACGAGGTCACAATGACTATTTCACAGACGGGTTACCCCCGATTGGGTGTATATCAGTTGGACACGGGGCAATTGGACACAGTCCAATCACAAGTCGCTGTTCCAAGAGACCCTACAAATGTCTCTAATCACACGGTGCTGTGATTGGCTGTGTCCAAATGCACCGTGTCCAAGTGCACCGCTCCCCCCCCGATTAACGAGGAGCGATCTCGGCGCATCAGAGAAGCGCGAGGTCAGATTCTCATATTCAATGGCACGCAAGATGACAAACTAATAGAATTTTTAACGGCGTGCGAATATGCTTTTGAACTGATTCATCCTACTGACGAATCCACATTAATTCGAGCAATAATCTGCACTAAGTTAAAGGGCATTGCCCTAACTGAAGTTAGAAATCGAAACATTTCTACTTTTACTGTCTTAAAGGACGTATTAGAAGCATGCTTTATGAAGAAGGAATCGGTAAATCGACTACTTCGAGATTTTAATAATTTGCACCAGAAGCCTGGAGTAAATGCGCGAACCTTCGGAAACCGTATAGGAACATTAACCACGGATCTATTTGAAGCCGGTACAGAAGGGGATCTCTATTCTTCCCCGTAAAAACTTGGCATCCATTTCTTTTTGAAATCGTTAGCTCTTGTTAACTATCAACTAGGACTAAATGACAGGCTACAAATAATAGTCTGGTCCCGCGCACCAGCGACTTTAACTGAGGCAATAGCAGGAGCAGTAGAAGAAGAAAAGATCAGAGGAACTCATGAAGCTCTTGCGCGGACCTATGAAATAAACCGGTATAACCGAGGTTCTTTCGCGAACACTAAACGAGATGTTCCTATATAGAAGGAGAAAGGCATACTAGGTGGCGGCGGGATGCCATGCGTTCGAGATCTGCTTATCTTTTCGTTCCAGAGAGAGAAAAATATCGAGAGCGCGGTTCTGCTAGGCCGGAACTCGAACCCGGGTCTTTCACTTGCCGAGCGACTGCTCTAAACCACTGAGCTACCTGACGCTCTACGCTCACGACACTCTCCCCTTCCTAGATAACGCTCAGAAATGCCGTTCGGAAGCGACATCTCTGGCGCGATCCTAAGCTCACGGCAACTACAAAGAGAAACAATGTTACTGTACCAAATGGTACAGCTGTCAGTTTCTCAAAGTCAAAGGTTGCTATCCTTTAAGACCTGCTTCCATATGCCCGTTTCCACCTTTGCCCCTCCTCATCCGGTGCAAATAATACAAATAAGCCCCGGGGTCGACACAATTTTTTGGCCATGGGATCCACCATAGAAGGAGGAGGGTACTAGGTGGCGGCGGGACGCCGTGCATTCGAGATCTGCATATCTTTTCGTTCCAGAGAGAGAAAAATATAATAATACAATGCCAAAAATGCGGAAAATTGGGACATCAGCGACGCGAATGCCATAGCAGCCGATATGGCAACCGGTTCATCCTACCTAAACCAACAGTACCCTCTCGCGTGAATGCGACAGACACATGGTGTACACGATGCAAGAAAAACGGACACACTCGCGATAACTGTTGGTACATACACGGGAAGCCTACCGAGACACGGAACACCGCGAGCAACTACTGTAAACCCTTGCGCTCAGCGACTATCACCGCGCTAAAAACCGATAAACCATCAGCATCTCGAAAAAACGGAAGCACCAAAAGCAATAACGACCAAGAGGCTAGTCACAAGAGAGAACAAGGTCGCGTGAGCGATTACCGCGTAAATCAAATCTGGCGAAATTTGCATGGCCGCGCCTGATTTGATCTAGTACTTTTGCCAATAAAGGAAGTTAAACAAAAAAGAATACCATTTTTTGTTGACACGGGATCAGCCATTAGTCTCTTAAAAATATGCATCCTGCGCGATGATACCACTACGGAAAAATTGACATTAACGGGTATCACCGGACATAAAGCCTACACTATAGGAAAGATAACCGCTACAGTCAGTCTAGAAAAACAGCGTCGAAAATTTGAACTGTTCGTGGTACGAGATGACTTTCCAATCGAATATGAGGGAATCTTAGGAATAGACTTCCTCCGCGAACACCGCGCTAAATTCGATTATCGGTAAAAAAACAATGACTATCTTCGGTCGAAGTTTGCCGCTAATACCATGTCAAACATACAACCTTCCTGCGCACAGCGAAGTAATAATACGCGCCGCGGTGAATGTAAACTAAATAGGAATAATCCCAGCCGAAGAGATTTTACTTTTTATTGGAATTTTATGGGAATTTTTATTGGAAATTGCGTGGTGAAACCTGTCGAGCATACGTGTTCGGCAACATTAATTAATTCCACCGACAATCCTATCGAGATAACTATATCTTACATAATATTAAAGGACACTCCGAAATACGACACCGCAGAGATAAATGTACTCACTACAGGACAAAACAATAAAACCCTGCTAGCACGAACAGAAATACTGAATCAGCAATTCATAAACCAATAAGGCATTCATAAATAGTGATCAAACAGACTGGGACGAATGGATCCCATACGCAATATTTACGTACAGTGCGACTCCTCACTCTACAACAAATTATACTCCGTTTGAACTGGTATACGGACATCAGGCAACCCTACCATCATCCATATTAGTAGCGCCAAAAACTACGTATAGTATTGAGGACTATGCACAGGAGATAAAACAACGGTTCCGAGCAATGAATCAAATAGCCCGGGAGCACGTCAAAGAAGAAAAAGTAAGAAGTAAAAAATACTATAATCGAAACACTAAGAAGACTATACTAGACATAGGAGATCAGGTACTGTTACATGACGAGACAGTACGACTAGGAAGATCAAAGAAGTTAGACGCTATGTGGATAGGACCTTATGAAATAGTCGAAAACCCTAACACCCTAACGAAAATTATACAATAAAACGCGGCCGACGAACACTTCGTATGCATGCGAACCGAATAAAATTATATTTAGAAAATTAAAAAACTCACCTAAAAATGCGGCATACCCCTGCTACGGCCATATAAAATTCGGGCCCGAGGAACGGCCTGGAAAGCTCCCATCTGGGGCAAGAGCCCCAATTCCATCCCTCCAGCATCCCCACCTCCATGACCCGTCGGAGGACGACGCGCCTCCGCTCCGTATAGAATCTCGGGTAGGTCAGAGGACTGGAAATCTTCCCTAGGCAAGCAGAAGCCCGAACAAGCCATACAATCTCACTCAATAAATAAACAAATAAGAGCGTAAAAACACCATACCAAAAACCATACATAAACAAAGAATTTACATAAACTTAAATAACGCTACCGCTGAACAAACGGGGCAGAAAACCCTGGCAGGCGACATGTTGAGACAGAAAAATTAAGTAATTACGTCCTAGTCTGGAGAAGAATTGAACGCAACTAAAAAAGTAGTCACTTGCAAACACATACACAAACTAACAAACAGCTTAGAATTAAAGAAAAGAAGGAGGCAGTTTTATCCCACGTGGAACGCAATAAGAAAAGAAAAAAGATATCAAATTTATCTAAACACTTGACCCCAATATACTTACAGAGCATTCAACCTGATAAGAAATGCCAGCCTCAGGACAAATGGGTTGCAAACAGAGACCCCATACGAAATCAACGAATTCACGCATACACCTGGCGTATATTGCGATATACAAGGACAACTACACCAAATAGCTTCAACATGGAAAACAGTCATCAAAATGGGTATACATACAATAGACATTCGACGTAACCAAATACAAGGGTACCTTGACAGCACAGAAAGAATTTGTAACCAACAAAAGAAGACAAGTATCATATGACAAATGTGCGATAACTTACGTGAAATAGTACAGAAAAATCTAGATTGTACAACATGACGGAACTAATACATAGGATATACAAAACTCCGACGTACGCAAAACGAGGAATAATAGACGAAATAGGTACAGTAGCAAAATCACTTTTCGATATAATGGACGCAAACGATGAGAAAACGATAAACGAACAATTAAATCTATTAGAAAATAAACAAGAAACTCTGCAACACGTGATAACGAATCAATTAAAAATTATTAATACAACAATCAACCATCTTTTTTTTTTTTTTTTTTTTTTTT